TTTTCTCTGAAGCCACCTATTTTTCAAGTGAGCAAAACTATTGGAATACATGACTGATAGGTATTTCTTGTTATCCTGGTGTTGCCTTTTAGATTGATTATTTAAACATTAAATAGCTCTGAAGGACTACTCCTAGCTTTATCTTTGGGTTTCATCTGTAAAGACTGTATTTCTTGTTAAGGATAAAACAAATATGAAAATGAGAGAGCTGTCTATAGGAGAAAAGCAAGCTATTTTGAAGCTGAGAAAAGAAGGAAAATCGATCAGAACCATTGGACAAAACATTGAGCATAGCCAACACAACAATTTGGAATGTTCTGAAAAGAAAAGAAACTACTATTGGACAACAGATTTAGAACAGGTCATCCAAGGAAAACAACAGCAGTTGTTGGCAGAAACATTGTGAGAACTGTGAGGAAAACCCCAAAAGTCAGCGATATCACCAACAACATCCGCAGTGCACGGGTAAAGGTTTCAAAATCCACTGTTTGAAGAAGACTTCAAGAGCAGACATATATAGAGGCCAAACCACAAGATGCAAACAACTCCTCAGTAGTAAGAATTGGAAGGTCAGATTGGAATTTGCAAGGAAGAACAAAGATGAGTTACAAAAGTTCTGGAAGAAAGTTTTATGGACTGATGAGACCATGATTAATCTCTACCAAAGTGAAGGAAAGGCCAAAGTGTGGAGAAAAAAAGGATGTTTATGACCCAAAGCATACAAGCTCATCTGTAAAGTATGGCAGAGGCAGTGTCTTGGCTTGGACTTGCATGGCTGCTTCTGGAACAGGCTCATTCATATTTATTGATGATGTAACTCATGATGGTAGCAGCAGAAAGAATTCAGAAGTCTACTATAACTCAATAGAGCATTCATTTCATCTGAAGAGGAGACTGAAGGAAGAAACAACTCGAAACAAACAAAAACTGAAAGAGGCTGCGTTAAATATTTGGAAAAGTATCACAAATGAATAATGCAACAGTTTGATGGTGTCAATGGGTTGCAGGCTTGATGCAGTTATTGCAAGCAAGGGCTATGCAAACAAATATTAGGTTGTCCCAAAAGTTTGTAAACACTTGCGAAAAATTGAATTTTTATGCAATTTTTAATTGTTTTTTTACTTTATTGTTAATTTTGAAAAAATTTTATTTCATTAAAATTTTTATTTAATTGTTTTTTGTGTTTATAAGCAATGGGTTCAGAAAGGGCAAGAGACACCGTCGGTTCCAAAACAAGATCGATTCAGCAAGAAAGTCATGTTGTGCGTTTGGTGGAACTTTGAAGGAATCGTGCATTTTGAGTTGGTTCTGAATGGTCATGCCATCAGTGCCAAACTTTACTGTCAGCAACTGGAGTGGGTCTACGAAAAGTTGAAGCAAATGTACCCAGCTCTGATCAACCGAAAGCGTGCTTTGATGCAGCAGGACAATGCCAAGCCTCACTCTGCCAGGAAGACCAAGTTTGGAGAGCTGGACGGTGTTGAGGTTCTGCCACATCCAGCCTACAGTCCTGACTGTGCTCCATCAGATTATGGCCTTTTCTGCTCAAGGCAACACTTTCTGAAGGGCTGCTGATTCGACTCGTTTGATGAAGTCGAGGAAGTGTGTCAAGAATTCTTTGATTCGAAGCCGGCTGAATGGTACTTTCACCAGATCCGAAAGCTTGCAGATTGATGGCAGAAAGTCTTGGAAAATGATGGTCTTTATTTTGAGGAATAATTTTTGTTGTTTTTGTTATTACTTGGCGAGTAAAATTTCAATTTTTTGCAAGTGTTTACGAACTTTTGGGACAACCTAATATTAAATGTTATTTACTTTAAGTCTATCTGTTCCTTTACTTTTGCTCACCTAAAAATGGGGGAAGGATCTGATATCAAAGGTGGTATTGTCCTGAGCTGTTTAATACATCTAAATGTAAATATTAGCATATAATTGAAATTCTACACTCTTGTCTTATATTCATCTTTTGATTTTCAGTGAACAGCAAAAACAAAGGAATTGGCCTTGCCGTTTCATTACTTTTGGAGTGGACTATAATATATATATATATATATATATATATATATATATATTTCTCACTTCAAATCTTATTTTTACTAGATACTTGTATTTGAGTAGGTGCTCTGTTCATTTATTAAACGGTATATATATTTTTTTTTTGTCTACCGGCTGTAATGTTAAACAAATCTCATTAAAGAAATATTTACGCTCTCCGGCATGAATCGAACCTGTTTACCTCAGAGCTGAGGAAACTACTGTTTTAGCCTGGCATGTGTTACTGAGTTGGCCACAAAGAGCAGTTGGTCAGGTGAGGCCAACTTTTATGCTTTCAAGTGAGATTTCTCCTGTAATAGATCATTCAATATTTTTTTCATATCTGCACAGTTTCATATCCAAACATAAACAAAGTTAATTTTAGGACGGATTTTTTATCACTTTAAATGTTATTTTTAGTGGATACTTGTATATGAGTAGGTGCTCTGTTTATTTATTAAACAGTATATTTATTTATTTTTGTCTACCAACCTGAATGTTTGAGAAATATATATATATATATATATATATATATATATATATAATAAATACATATACACACATATGTGTGCATATATATATATATATATATATATATATATATATATATATATACACACACACAAACACATGCACACAAACGTGTGTGTGTGTATATGAGGATTTTCACTTCTTTGCACAAGACCGTCTTTTCACTTGGTAGGTTTTTTTTTGTGTTTTTCATTCAGAATTTTATTATTTCCATCATTTATATGCAAGCTAACACTTTGCTATGAGCCTGTAATTGAATCTTAAGGCCAGCACCACTTTTACAACCTCTCTTACAAATATGGCAAACAAACTTGCCTATCTCTCTGTACAATCAGTGATGTTTGTGTCTCACAACAGATTTACAAACCTTGTTACAAAATTCATATAAGTAACCTGCAGGTCTTTCTGGTAGGGTTACATTTGCAGGGTATATTGTATATTGGTGTTGACATGTATTTTCTGGTATTGTTAAGGTGGACAAGAATGTGTCTTTAAATACTGCATCATAGAACTTTTATCAGACAAAAGAAGTCTAAGATGTCATGATAATTTTGTGGTTGTGAAGCTAACATATTACATTTGCATTACAGTTACATTAAATTTGTCTTTGTAATTCATCCCTGAGGATGATCAAAAGTACTTGGGTTAACAAAAAATACGGTACCTTCCTTGAGAATTTCAACTTAACATGAAGAAGCTAATTAGAGAATTAAAAAGATTATTATAAAAATAGACATATGTCTATGTTATTTAATGAAACACACTGACATTATATTTATTTTATGCATAACGGAAGAGATAGTTGAAATTTCTAGGTAACATAATGGAGAAAGAGGGCTTGGAAAATTTGATATTCACAGGACAGATTGAAGGCAAGATGGACAGAGGAAAGCAACTAGCGAGTTTGAGTAAATGGATGGTGGAGCAAGGTTTAAGAGAGATAAAAAAAAATTTATAAGAGCTACAGAGGACAGTAAATTGTGGAGAGCCATGATTGCCAATGTCCTGAAGGAACATTGTATATAGAAGAAGAATATAAATAAGACAAGGCAGAGCAACATGAACTATTTTGATAATATGTAATATAATGTAATTGCAAAATTTCTTATGTATATTGCCATATTTTTTTAACAATAAACTAGTATTTAAAGTAAACTTGAAACTAAATCATTTTATTTTAATGAGCTTACCAGAAAGATATATCATGATATAGCAGATATAAAACAGTGCTATGATAAGTTCAAAGAAAAAGGGATATTTTTTTAATGCCTGAAATAAAATTCTTTTTATTTCTACTAATATGACTAAGCAACTCATTAGAGAATACTAAACATTGGATGGTTTATATATTACTTATCAGAGTTCCTGTTTTATCCATTTTCTACTATTTAGTAAAAACCTATGAGGCTGGGATCTAATAAATTATAGGTAAAATTGGTTATTTAGTAAGTTGTACAATGAAATGTAGTAATTTGAAATTTTATTACTCAATTTGAAGTTGTTTAAAGTATGGACAACCTGAAATAAAATAAAGCACAAACTTTTTATGAAGTTATGGAAGAATTGCTTACACCTATGCTCATTCACCCACACTCTTTTCTGTCCATCAATTGTTGATGAAATATTTTTTGTCATTATATCTGTCATTAATGAGAACTAGAGCTAATTACAAATAATCTTGACCGAATTTCAAACTTGGTTTACAGATTCTGTTATTTTTTTTATACATATAGGTAAGAACAAAATGTCAAGTTTCTATGTACCATTGTCATGAAAGCATTTGAATATTTTAACTATCTCTTTATAGTGAAACAAAGTGCTACTCTGAAGTTGGAATTCCTAGGAACAAACTCATCTCATATTTTTTATTATGTCTCACCAGAAGATAAAACAGCTGAGGAGGAAAAGTTAGTCTACTTGGATTCCAGCCCAAAGGCTGAGCAACTATATCAGGGAGAGTGTAGAGGTCCTAGACAGTAATGCCGATACCTGTATTCTTTGTCAAACAGATATGATCTATTCAAGATATGGTCAAGATTGTTAATCCACATGAGTTGCTCCCCTTGGACACTCTCCAAAAAGAAAGAATAGTTTTGCCTGGCAGAAGAGCATATCAGTTATTATCTATGTGGAGTTTGAATAAATCATTTTCTCTATATATCACTTGTTAGTTACTGAATTTAAATTTAATACAAAGCAATGACTTAGCATGTTTATATCTGAATGCAGAACAGATAAGTAACTTTTAGAATTCTCACTATATCTCAGGTAACTGCAAAAGCATTCTGACATCCCATTATATTTTCATATATGAAAAATATAATTTTGACAATGTATCACTTGTATGTACAATCCTTCTAGAATTGAAAATACATCTGCTGTTTTATCCAGAGAGTCATGCATTGGTAATTATGGAAGAAATAAAAGATTCATACCTGGGGTCCAATGATCACTTTGAATTTATGCATAGGTGAATCTCCACCTATGAGGAATGAGTTGGGTCCAGTGAGTTGCAAGAGATAAAGTCGGGCCCTCTGCACTCGTTCAATTCGCTTTCTTGTCAACTCACTGTTGCTGGTTAAGTCACTGGAGATGTTGGGAGAGATCAAACGCCTGCCAGCATACATCCCTGATGATTGGTGGGTCCGAAACTAAAATAAAAATAGCAAAAGTCATTAATTAAACTCTGCACTGATGTGACAACTGTACTAAAAGAAATGTAAGACAGAAAATGGGATTACGGGAAACAAAATAGAAAAAAAACAAAACAAATGAAGATTTTATAAGAGATAATCACAGAAATATACACGCAAGAGGAGAGAAAAATGTCAGTGAAATTGGATTAATATTAAATAAAGACAAGTGGAATTGTGTTTTAGAAAACTAGCAACTGACAGAGTTCTTCTGGTGAAATTAAAAAGGAAGCCATTCAATAGGGCAATCATAATGATAGATACACTCAAATCAGAAAGGAACAAAGAAGAAATAGATATGTTTTACAACACACTAGAAAATGCAAAATTTCAGAGCAAGTCACAATTGTTGATTTGTTTTTTTTTTTACAGCTTAATGACATTATGGATTATTTAAAGCTGAAACATATTTTTGGGTGGTAAGAATAATTCTTTTTTTGTAAGTGAATATTTCATTAACAATTTTTTGAGAATAACAATGATTTTCTCGCATACAAGTCCTACTATTTAATCTATAGCTGGAGGGAGGAGATGGATTCATATCTTTTGCAATATTATTTGCTTGTAAGTGAATGCAACTAACCTGACTGAAATTGAGCAAGTCACAAGAAAATATCATTATGGATGACCTAAATGCAAAAGTAGGCAAGGAACAAGATTGTGAAATAGTAATTACAGACTTTGATCAATTAATGTGTGCAAAGAAAAATGGATTCATTGATATGCAGTGAATTTTACACATAATAACTAGTACCTGATTTGAAGAACAATCAAGATGGAAGAGTCTGGTAATAGATATTGAAAACCAGATAGACTACATAACTCTCAACAAATGTGCAGTTTTGCACTCTACAACATAAACAAATGCTGACTGTAGAAGTGATTACTTTCTAGTCAAATGCAAACTAAGGGTAAAATTAGAAAAATTAAAGAATCCCAAAGCAATGCATAAACTGCAATATGACACATTCCAAAGTGATTCCATTTTGAAACAAACATATACAGTTAAGAACAAATACAAAACTTTGGAATAAATCAAGAACTAAAAAATGGGACACTTTATGGGAACTGCGAGTGAAAAAAAATTATCCAAAAGGAAAACAGATAAGAAAAAGAAAAAAATAGATGACAGGCTAAATTCTCAATCTAATGAAAGAGACAATTGATAATGCAAGGAAATGGCATTGAATATATGAAATTAAACAAAAAGCTAAATAACACTGATATCCAACCAGATCATTTTATAAGGTATGTGATTCAACTTTTATGAAGCATTAAAATAAAAATGAGATTAAAAATGATTAAAATCTTCATAAGGAATAGAACAACTGTAAATGTGTAAATGCAAGCAAGCAAAAGAGGAACAGCTTAATGAGTAAAATGCAGAGATCAAAATACTGCAGAATACTGATGTAGCAGGTATGCACAAATATGATAAAAGAAGTAGCAGGTCAGAAGGTATAAACTGTTAAGAGAGAAAGATGATTATAGAAAAAGAAAAGGTACTGCACTGCATGGGGGAATGATTACCTCACAGTCATATGCAAACTAAGGGTAAAGTTTTCGAAATCATTTATCCAGAGTTGTGGACTGCAGTCCCTTTTCCACCAATGAAATGTCGCAAGGCTAAAAATGCAATGTGGCACATTCCAAAGTGATTCTATTTGCAAACAAATATATTCAATTACAATTAGGAACAAATAGAAAACTTTGAAACAAATCAAGAACTGAAAGTGAATCACTTTATGGGAAGCACTAGTGACAACAGTGAAAGAAATCACCTGAAATGAAAACAAGAAAAAAAAAAGGAAATAGATGACAGGTGAAATTCTCAATCTAATGAAAGAGAAACAATTGATAGTGCTGAGAAATGGTAGAGGATATACGATGTTAAGCAAAAACATTAGAAATAAATGCAAGCAAGATAAATGACTCAAGAAATATGCAGCGATCAAAAAAATTGTAGATCAGGCATGCATAAAAAAAAAAAAAAAAAAAAAAAAAGACAGAAAATCAATAGTAGGATGGCTGAAATCTAGAAAAGGAACAATCATAAAAAAAAAAGAAATTATACTACAAAGATGGAACAAATTTATGGAGAGCTCTTCCATGAAAACAAAAGAGAGAAACTTATAAAACATAAAACCATGGAAGAACCATAGTATTAAAATCTGTGGTAAGATTGGCACCAGCCAAGATATACAGAGACAGTGGCAGAATATAGATGCTGATAGACTGACAATAATGGGGATTGATAATGTTTCTGACATGATAAATCAAATGTATGTGACAAAATACTAAAGCGTTCAGTAAATCTATCTTCATAGCACTGCCAAAGAAATGTGGTGTCAATGAATGTGTGCTCCACTGGATAACCAACTTGATGAGCTACATAACTAAACTAATTATTAACATTCTAATGAATAATGTAAAAGAAATAAAAGGGAAATAAAGAAAAAACACTAAAAAGAGAGATAGCATGATTGTCAGCAAAAGAGACAGCCCAAACTGTGATATATAAACTGGGAATGTCAAAATCAAACAGGTGTAGAAATTTAACTATCTACATAGTGTAGTAACAAACAATAGAAAATGATATAACACAGAAATCTGAAGGCACATTGTAAAATAACCACAACGGCAATGGTAGTAGTAATTCTCAATTACTTTATTCTCATACCAACGAAATACAAATACAAAAATATACTTGGCCCCTCGCCACTTAGCTGTTTATATAACACTGGATGAAGTAACTTATATCTCCTATTATCTACTGAGACCTTCCATTTTTACTCCACATGCCCCTCCCTCCTCTGGCCACAAGACAGATTGATGTGGTCAGTTGAAGGTTTGCCCCAGAATATGTGTGCAAATGTCCATAGATTTGTGGAGATAGAATTTGAGGTGCTCATGTGTTTTGATGTGGGTGTTGACTTGGGGCTGGTGTCATCTGATGTTGGCATTCACCAATATTAAATCCAGTGTCATCAATTTAAATTTCTTTTGGTTCATTACTCACAGCATTTGGTTTATGTTGTATGTTGGGTGATAAGGGATTATAATCTGTGTCGATCACCATAGTGAATTATGGGTCACTGTGGCCGGACCCCAGGACTTGCAGAGGTATTATACCATTCTAGCCTATATGTGGTTAATCTATTTTCTGTGTTGCTATCTTGAACCAGTTGTAATTCGGGGTGCCATGAGGTCAAGGGACCCGCTCCCTGAGTAGAATGATATGGGACGTCAACAGCTGGGTGGATCTTACGGAGGAAGCGACGGTTGCATAGAGTTACCTGATTACTTCCATCCACCCACACACGGTAATGCCAGTTACCGAATACCTCTGCAATTCTCCTAGTTTTCATCCACCAATGAGGGTAAGGGCCATCTTGATTCTGGATTTGAACAGTATCCCCAATTTGTAATTTTCAAAGTGAGTGACAATGTTCATTGTAAAAGTGTTCATTTCAAATGTGCATTCTAGCCATTGCTGCCTCTCTCAGTTCACTAATTTCTCTCCACTGTTTACGTATCTGATATTTATTCCATAGGACAGGGAGGTGGTCCCTGATAACACAACTGTATAACATCATAGCAGGAGATATGTCAAGATCCTGGATTGGAGTGTTATGTTGGGTCAGCAAAGCACGGGCTGCATGACCATAACACAGCCAACCACAGCTGTCCATGTTGTCTGCAAGTATACACTTAGCCATTTTGATGGCCAGTTCTGCCCAGCCATTGCTTTGTAGGTAGTAAACCAATGAAGTACATCCTTGTGCAAATTAATTGAAACAAAACAAATAATTACATTATTATTTACTTGTTTTTTTGTATTTTTCCAATGAAACATGACCCATTGCACATGTTAGTACTTTGTATGTCCATTCCACAAAGTTGTTCCTTGCAGATTGATCACAGATTCTCGATTGGGTTTAAATCAGGAGAATTTCTGGACTAATCTATAGTACCTTGATTTGCTCACTGGTAAGGCTTGCCAGTGTGTTCATGCAGCCTTACAATTTTCATATGCTTCCTTGGAGTAATGTCCATTGCAGACAATGGCCATAGGACAACTAATTGACAGTCGTGATAAAAATATGATGCAATCATGAATAATGCAATATTTTTCAAGGTCAAACAAATTTCACCATACACCCCTGCAAATGACCTAATCTGAGGAAAAAATAGAAATTGATAACTCCAGTGGGTCTAAAACTGACCATATGTTAAAAGAAAAGAAACTAAATCAGTTGTTTTAATTAATTTGCACAAGGGTGTACATTTCTGTATTCCCCAATTCTTAAGGAATGCATAGTATACTTGGGAATCAAAAGGTGCCCCCCACATCAGAAGAAAGTTCTTCAGGTGCAACATATGTGCAGAACCAAGTTTTCAGGGTGTTGCATACATTCCTGGCTTTCCCAGATGACATTAAAGCTACTATCACCCAACCAGTATACTGATCTGCATATATAACAATTTCTACTGTGTAAGTTGAAAAAGTCAATCATGATTTGTTGAAATGGGTATTCAGGGTTAGATGGTGGCATCAAAAGTTCCTTAGGCTGTCGGACATTGGGATCCAAACCAGGCCAAAATAGGTGTTGCCTTCGATTTGCTAGCATGCTATTTACATCCTGGTGTGCAGAATGTAGGGATTCAAGTGCTTCTGCACAAAGTTATCGAGGCATAAAAATTTGATTCTTGATTAGTACTCCTCTGATATTCCTTGTGCATGGGCCAAAACTGAGAGATCACCAACATGAGGTCACAGCATGATTTGGGGAAACCAGTCCGTATATATTCCATCAGATTCAGACATTCTTCATCAGTGGCTGCTGCAGCTATGATCCTATCCCATGTGATAGCCCTCACTCTAGGGTCATGCTTGTATGTGGACATGAATACAGCCTTGATTGAACTGTTAATTGGTTTGGCCGCCTCAGTTGTAG